TAAACATGAATAGTATCAAGAAATAAATAGTGATAAACGATTCAAAGAATTCGACGCATGATCTGCTTTTTAAAATATTGTTGTCATATCTGTAGATGATGACATGGCCCAAGATTCATGAGAAACGTATCGAAGCTATTAAATGTAATATGCATCTTATAAACTCTATTAACAATCTAGATAAAACCCCATTCTTTGATAGACACCTGAGTATGATATGGCTTGGACGTTTTCAAAACTTGATGTTGGTTTTGAATCATCTTCTGATACAATATGGTCGTCATTGCTGTTGTTTGATTCTTCAATACCATCTCCTTCATCATTAGCTTCTACATCGTTCTCCTCTTCAATGTCATATTCATATTCATCATCGTCTTCTTCTCCTTGTTCGGCATCCTGGGCGTCATGATCATCATCTTCTTCTTCAACACCACCACGTTCATCATGACCATCATCTTCTTCATCACCACCGCATTCATCATCGTCATCTTCTTCATCACTGTCTTTGTCATCAATGACAAGTGTTTCTTCTTCAGTCAAACTATTTAATTTTAATAGTTGTTTTGCTATTTGTGATGATTGTTGAATATCGAACAGATTATTTCTAGTTAGATCAACATTCATTCCTACATTTTCTGCCATTTGTTGTGCTACTTCATAAGCTTTGAAGATGATTTCTTCGACATAATCCACATGAAAATAAATATTTTTCTCATTAATTTTCGATCCAGTATCATCAATAAGTCTTTTAACTTTGTGGTGAACCGGAAAAATAATTTTATCGTATTCATTTGTTAATTCAAATTGTTTGAGCTCTGTAAGAGCATTAAGTTTATCTATTCTTTTAAAAAATTGCTTGATAGTGAAATTAATTCGGGTAGAGTAAATTCCTGATAATGATCGTGCGTCACGAAATATATTCTCACAATGTTGTGATGAAAACAAATGAACATTATCAGCAACTGATTGAGGAAGAATATCATGTTCTATTAACAAATAAAGGTAAATCAAAGAGTGAGCATTTAATTCTAATGATATCAACGCATTTGATGTAATGAAATAGCTTTGTTCATTAGATTTTTTGTTGGTTTTAACAGATGATTTACGAATTTTTTTAGTAATACGTAATCATATTCTCCATAATCGAACATAGAAAACTACAATCCAAGCGTAAAATACTCTATTCAGTAAAGAAATTTCCGATTGTGTATATGTCATTATTAACAAATTCAAAATCAACATATAATTGTATGTAGCTTTCCATTGATCATTGATCATTAATAGATTTAATACACTATCACTAGATATACGTTGACAAGAAATAAAATTTTGTTTATCATGGATATTCAAGTCAGATTTTGACAAATTATGATCCATCTTGTTTGTATTCTTGATGAGGTCATAAAGATGTTTGATTGATACTTTATATAATCCCATTTTTAATTGTACATATTTAGATAATACACGATTACGAATCTTCGTACATAAGTGTGTACCATCTTGCAAGAATATAAACAATTGAGATTGTCCTAAGAAATACCAATTCGACCATGTTGATGGAATTTTCACGGTGAACAATAACTTATCGTTACAGATATCAAGTGTTTGAGTGTTAACAAAAAAGTTTGATGCTAAGCGTATAGCGCGCAAATATTTCGGATCACCGTCGGTAGCATATCCGAGGACCCGAACATTTCGTGCATAAAATTGTTGATAAATATATAACCACCGTTTCAGAATATCTATAGAATTTATCTTGTTGTCTGTCCCATACGCAGACAAAACTGTAGCTGATGGTACATATGAATCAGAAGTAGAAATAGGTTGTACTAAATGTACATTGACTAAATTTGAACGTGGTGTTGTTTCAATTGCATGTTTAAGATCATCGAAAGAATTAAATTGAGAAGAATTTTCTGTTGGAACACCATTTAAAACAGGTATTACTAATCCGTTAAAAATATTAAATGTTGAATCATATTCTACACGAGGTATTATTGCCGAACAATCTTCTGACATGAATACATATTGGCATTGATAGGAACTAAGATAATTTACACACTCATCGAATCTAAATCTTGCTTCTGAGTAAGGATTTTGTGTATAAAATTTTTTAACGGTATAAACTGATGGCAATAAGAATTTCAAATTGATACGAACGTATTCGTAAACATAAACACCTGCTAATATGAAAAAACAAGTTTCAAATCGTAATACAGAAGTTGGATATCGATAATTATTAGGTGGACGATGTCTGTTCGAATCAATTGTATTCAATAATGTGGACAAAATATCTGATTTCTGGAGTTTATCATACACAATCTGAATGATTTGCAATATAACTCAAATCATTGATATATTCAGGATTAATCAGTACTAACCTCTTGTTCAGATTTTTTTTTATTATGTTTGGTTAATGAGTAAAATCGAATTTGTTTGTCATTTTCATTGATTTTACGTTTCTTCGATTGTGATGAATGGTTCGAATTGATATTCTGCAATGCACAGTGAAAAACGAAATCAAATATATTTTTCATATAACGTACTTGATCCTTGACAACTGTTGAATATTGATTGTTTGATGGTAATCTTCCTGTTTTTGGCTGTTCCTTGTTCACTAGTTGCTAAAATAAAGAAATTATCTTGAAACGCACATGCTTTTTATGCAACGAGTATATAACAGTATTTCGTTGTCAAGTTTGACTCCTAACAATATATCAATTATGCATGTAATTATCCCTTTTAATCCTTCGATAACATTTCGTGATGTGAAACTTGTTTAAAAGCAATAATCAATTGAGAAATTATTATTAAAAATGATGTAAAACTATAATTCTTCTCTGGGCAATGCATTTGATATGTATCACAAAAAATTTATCTATAAAATTTAGTAATTATCTTCATTTCTCAGTGTATTCCAGAGACATTCAACTTCATATCAGTTTCAAAATAATCATGTTCAAAGAAAAACCTTATTAATGAAAAAAACCACTAAACATACTTGTTTTGATTTTGATGATGAAATATATGAAATAGAACTTTGCGTTCCACCACCTGTAGCCAGTATATTAGATATTCGTTGATTACCATCTCTGTTTTAGAAAAATGACATATCTCTCGTATATTGTATTTCAAAAGACTGACCGATTTATTGTTGTTGTAGATGATGTATTATTATATGTGTTACCATCGAATTCATATAGAGATTTTTCATTCTGACTATAACTAATCATCAACAGAAAAACGAAGCATCTAAAGTACTATACAGATTTTCAAATACTCACGACTTTTTTGTTGTTACTGCTGCTGTATTATCAATATCTCCAATACTGTTGTTGAAATGTTTGTTCAGTATATTTTGAGTAGTCAAGAGATTATTTTCATTTCTTGAAGATTCTTCATCAACATCCATTTGATCCATTTCATCTATACCTTTTTGATCATCAATTCCTTGACTTGTATTTTTCATTAAAAATTTGAATCCATTATTATCATTTCTGAGGTGTTTGATTAAACTTGATAGTTGAAATCGATTATGATTAAAAAATAACTTTATTCGATCACCACAAATACATTGAACAGAACAACGTGGTACAGATTGATCATCTATATCCTCAATCATAATACCAAAATCATTTGCTGATATATTTACATAAGTACGACGATGAATATGATTCTTCATATTTGTTAATATTTTTCCAATGGATTCTTGTATTGATGTGGCATATTTTTTCATATTCGTTTCACTGTCGCTTGAACTAGTATTAAGTGATGATGATGTTGATCGATGTTTATTCAATCGATTAAATTTTGTTTGATCGGTGAATTGACGTTTTCTTTTCTTGACAATATCTTGAGCTGATTTTAATAATAAGATCATCTTGTTTTTGGTTCCAATTCTTAATAATATTTTTCCTTCAGATATGTTGCATATTTCGGTTTTTAAATAAATTAATTCACGAGTAGCATTTTCATCATTGGGTTTTTCAAATATTTCCAGGAGTTCTTGTGTACTAGTTCCACTTAATATCAAATAATTATCAATATCATGAAATCGAAGGATCTTTTCAACATTTTTTCCATAGTGTTCTTGCACATGTTGATAAAAGGTTTCGCCTGAAAAGGCGATAAGCTGTTCTATTGGGATATCATCCATGAGACAATTTCAATAATGTCAAAATGTCAAGAATGAAAAAATAAAATGGTATACGTATAAATTAATCAAAAAGCAAATAAATACATATTTCAGTGATTAAGTATAAACTTGTTGTCAATCAATTATGTGTCAAACGTCAAACGATTTCTTCTTGACAACTTTAATTCAA